GAAGAACTGGGTAAATGCTGATGGAAGCATATCTCCCAGAATAGATACTAGGTTATGAGAAATAAGTCTCCCAGATCATCATGTAGAAGATCCCACATTCTTGTAGAGAAAGGTCCAACTAATGCAGCCTGTGAAATCCATTGTTATTAATCTCTTTCTTTTGTCTAAGAAAAATAAACTCTATTCCTTTATTACATAAATTGATGAATATTTATATGAGTAGTACTGACTTAAAGTTTGGTGAGGTCTAATACTTTCAGGGGTACCTTTACCCAAGTGACTTCCCCATTATTTTGTGCCAGCTCCTCCATACTCTCAAAACAATTCAAGCATTTTTACTATAAGCTATTTCCTCAGAGAACTTCCTTTTGTGAACACAACTATGCAGTCATATCACTGTAAGTTTTTCAGTTTTTGGTTTTACTGTTTCTTTTGTTTTTATTGTTGCATATATTGGTTTATTTTTGGGTTGTAAGCCACCCAGAGTCTGGCTTTAAGATGGGTGGCTATACAAATGTTTTAAATAAATAAACAAAACAGCTACAAAAGCGATAGAAAAATAAAACCATAAAATATATAGCTACAAATAAGGTAATTAAAAAATGAAGATGGGAACTTTCAGGGGAAAGCTCTCTGAAAAGTCCAAAGAAAGCCAGTTTGACCTCCGTGGGGAGGCTGTTTCACAATGTCAGTGCTACTAGACTTCCCCAAGCCAGGTCATGACACAGGTCATTCAGGAGAATGACCAAAGCCATCTCAGTCCCAAAACCAGTCCTGAACCCTGACTGAAAAAGGTTTAGTCAAACCTTCCCACTGAGTGCTGTGAAGTTGATCCATCACCATTTCAACAACTTTCCTTAAAAATGGAAGGTTGGAGACCAGTTGGTAGTTCTCTAACACCGCTGGGTCCAAGGATGCCCTCTTTAGGAAGGGCTGCACCACAGCCTCTTTGAACACTGTTGGAAATTCCCCCTCCCCCAATGAGGCACTGACAATTTCCCAGACCTAATGCCCCCCCCCCACAAACACTTTCTCTACAACCTTGGAGGGATAAGGATTCAACCAGCAGGTGGCTGAAGACAACCAAGATAACATACTATCCAATCCCTTGGAAGCCACAGACCAAAAGGAGTCCCAGATCACAGGGCAAGGTGATGCCTCCAATCACTATCAAAGACTGTCCATCTGGAGTCAAGACTTCAGTCAACCGAAGCGACTTTATCAGCAAAATGCTGCACAAACTGGTCTTAACAGCTGGACAGGAGATAATTGTTTCTTCTCCAATAGGGAATTCACTACGCTACATAATACTGCTGGATGGCAGCCATCCAATGCAGTAAGAGAAGAGAGGAGAGGTACATTACATACTTTCAACTTTATACACTTCAAAACCTATTGGAAGTCAGTGTAGAGTCTGCAGCACTGGTGTTCTATGCATCTGGTGGTTTTAACTCATCAATAGCCAGGCTGATGAATATTGCACCAAATATAGTTTCCAAGTGATCTTCAATCACAGCTTCATGTAAAGTGCAGATGTGTGGTGATAAGGGGATGTGTCATAGTTCTGTTATGTTGGTTCACGGTCAGTATGCAGTTCTTCAGTAGGGAAATGAAGTAGTCTGGTACACTCATATTTTTTTTAATAATTTTTATTAAAAGATTTTAGAAAGATTTTAAAAACTGCAGAAGCGTAGAAGAAGAAATAGAAAAAGATTGTAAAAGGGTAAAAGAAAAAGTGAATAACAAAAAATCAAGAAAAAGATATCTAAAGAAGCGACTTCTGATCTTTGTTGCAGCAGTTAAGAGTTTGTACTGTCTGGTACAAACAATAGTTACCATCTCCACCCTCCCATATTGCATATCATGGTTCCATTCTTCTCATAAACAAACCTTTTTAATCAATAAACCCCAAAATCAGCAGTTCATTTTTATCCATTTTCAGCAAAAAGTCTACAAAGGATTTCCAGTCTTTTATAAAAGCAATTGTAGTTCTCTTCTTGATTGAACAAATCAATTTAGCCATTTCTGCAACTCAGCCATCTTCATAATCCTTTCCTCCATTATTGGTATTTCTGTAGTCTTCCATCTTTGTGCATATAATAACCTCGCTGCAGTTACCATATATAAACCAATCATCCATGAGCCTTTTCTAGTTGAGTGTCCAAAGTCCTAATAAGAAAACTTCTGGTTTTATGTGAATGTTAATTTTTAAAACTCTCTGCATCACCATCTAGTATCTTTTTGCTTTTTCACAAGTCCACCATGCATGATAAAATGTCTTTTTATGTTTTTCACATTTGTCACAGTAATTAGAAGTATCTTTATACATCCTAGACAATTTCTCTGTTGCCATATACCAACAGTATATCATTTAAAAAAAAGTTTTCTTTTAAATGGTAAGACAATGTGAATTTCAGAACTTTTAACTACATTCTCTGCCATTGATCCATTTGAATATTATAACCAAAATTCTTGGCCCATTTTACCATACATTCTTTAACTTGCTCTTCCTCCATTTCAAATCTCAGCAAAAGCGTATACATTTTAGCAATCACATGTTCATCATTTGTACATAATTCGCTTTCAAATTCTATTTTATCACATTCTGTTCCTGGTACTTTTACATCTATATTATATCTCTTGTTTACATCTCTTTTACATCTATATTAAATCTCTTAAGCGCCCCATTTCCCAGTGCTAGTAAGTCTTTATATGCTAACCATTTGTCTTTGCCTGCTGTTTCTTTTCTATAAAACACTTATTGAGCTGAGGCTAACAAAGGTATTTTTGGACTTAGCCTGGGCTTGTATCTATTCCATATTTGAAGTATGACATTCCTAATATAATGATTTTTAAAATCTACATTTACTTTGACTTTATCATACCATAAGTAATCATGCCCCCCAAACCTCAGACCATGATCTTCTAAATCTAAAATTCTCTTATTTCTTAACAACAGCCATTCCTTCATCCAAACCAAGCAGCAGGCAGCAAAATACAATTTAAAATCAGGTAATCCCAGTCCTCCTCTTTTCTTTGCATCTTGGAGGATCTTATATTTAACCTTTGGTTTTCCCCTTGCCATATAAATCTGGATATGTCTTTTTGCCATCGTTTAAATGGTGCATCAGTTCTCAAAACAGGTATTGTCTGAAATATGAATAACATTCTAGGTAACATGTTCATTTTTACCACAGAAATTCTTCCTAACAATGACAATGGTAATTTCCCCTATTTTAATAAATCCTTAATTTCATTCCATACTTTAACATAATTATTTTGAAATAATATACAATTCATGTTATTAAAATGATACCCAAATATTTCACTTTTTTCTCAGTCTGAAAACCAGTTTTCACAGACAATTCTTTTTGTCTTCCATCTTCATATTCTTTGTTTTTTCCTTATTAATTTTAAATCCAGCCAATGCACCAAATTCTCTTAGTTTTTCCATTAATATATTTATCCCTCCAAAAGGATTCTCCAAAATTAGAACCAAATCATTGGCAAATGCCCTTAATTTGTAAACTTCTTTTTTAACTTTCACTCCAGCAATTCTCTCATCTTGTCTTATGGCTCTATTAAAACCTTCAAGAGCCAGAATGCATGACAACAGAGAAAGTGGGCATCCCTGCCTCATTCCTTTCTGTATTTCACAGGGCTTGGTCAATTTCCCATTCACAAATATCTGTGCTTTTTGGGAAGTATATATCGATTTCACCCATGTAATAAAGTTCTCTCTGAAATCCACATCTTCCAAAATTTTAAACAGAAAAGTCCAATTTAAATTGCAAAAGTTTTCTCTGCATCAAGAAATAGTCAGGCAGCTTGTTTTTCATGGTTGTTCCATGTACTCTAATACTTTAAGAACATTTCTAATATTGTCTCTTTTCTCTTAGGTAGAAAACCACATTGGTCTTCATGGATAAAATCCTGTAAAAACATTTTTTTCAGCCTTTCAGCTAAAATTGTAGTGAATATCTTATAATCATTATTCGATAATGATATTGGCCTATAATTTTTTGGCAAAATTAAATCCTGTCCTTCTTTAGGTATCAGTGCTATATTTGCCCCTGTCCAACTATCTGGTATTTTTCCATTATCTAAAATGGAGTTCATCATTTTTTGCAAAGGTAATAAAAGCTCTTCAAAATTTTTATAATAAGAAGCTGATGATCCATCTGGACCAGGGATTCTACCTTTATTCATCTTCTTTATACCATCACACATTTCCCTTATTGTTACTGGTCCATTCATCCTTTGTCTTTGGGCATGTGTTAACTTTGGTAAATTTTGTTTCTTGAAATATTCATCTGCCTTTGCTGATGAAATTTCTTCTCTCTTGTATGGCATTGTATAGTACTGATGACATTTTCTTTGAATACTTACATTATCGTTCACCATAGTTTTCTCATTTTGTAATTTTAATATCATTTTCTTTTTCCTCTTCTTACTCAGTC